CTGAGCTGCTGTAAGGAATTCCTCCACCCGCTCGGTGCACTGTGGCTGCCTCCCACTGTGTCCCAGGGCCAGGCTGTGCTGCCGTGGTGGCTGCTGCCCCAGCGAGCCTGCCTCCATGTCTCCCGCACCCTCTCGCTTAGCAACAGTTGTTCTTCCAAATCCCGGGGTTTGGCTGAAGCCTTTCCTTCTGGGTGTGATAGTCTCAGGTGCCTCCGCACTGCTCGGGTCACCTTTATCTTCCATACCAAATGAGAAAATGTCATCAAATCATGACCAGCAAGCCACTGAGTGAAAAGATCACACAAACTCAACCACACACAAGAGAGAGCACAACCTACCTACATGTAAGTAAGAGGAGGAAATGGAACCATCTCTATCCACAAGACGTGGAGCAGTGCAGAAGTCAGTCCTGTTAACCAGTGTTTCATGAAGTGTGGCATGTGAGACGATTTCAGGAGCTCATTAAGGAAACTTTAATTAGTTACGTATCTAATGTTTACTAGGAAAGATCAGTCAGCAAGTCAAATGTGTCCTGCTGCCATTTACCTGCTTAGGACAAGGCTTTACAAAACATGGAGCAGGGAACATAGGAAGTAAGCACCAGCATGAGTGGGGTAAGGACACGATCACAAGGGCGAGGTTGACAACCCACAAGGGGACTGGCCATGTCCACCCTGGGCTCTGGAGCCCTAGGCTGCTGACCACCCTGCTGGAGACCACGTGGAGGGGAAGGGCCCAGCTGAGCCCAGCTTTCAGCCATCCCACCCAGGCCCAGGAGGGACACTGCCATGGACCCTCCACAGAAGCCCTGACTCTAGCTACTTCTCAGTGACCCTCCTGGATGCCAAGTGGGAGGAGGACCACCCTGATTCTACATGGTTCAGAGATATGAAACGGGCCTTGTCTTAGTCCACTGAGTTTTAGGGATATTGTCCGCAGCGACAGATAACTTTAGACACTTAGAAAATACTGACCTAGGCAATAGCTTTAAGGTATACCATTCTTCTCTGTTTTTTTCTTTCACTTTCTAATAGATTCTAAAGAGTCATGTTTGTGAAACTTTTACTCTTGTTCAAATCAACAAAACCTGAAAAAGACGGTACCATGAGAATTATTTTCCAAGCTGTCCAGGCTTTAATCACATGTAAATGATAATTATGACTGGTTTATGCCATATTCCATCTGACGGAAAGGAAAGGTATAAAATGAAAACCTTAAAATATATAAATAACACAAACTTTAAGATCACTTGCAACCTCTTTTTTTTTTGCTTCTGTCTAAATGCTGTCAGTTCCCAGTTTCCTGTCTAGCTGTAGGTGCTGCCTGACTGCAAACCTGACCCACACACTCCTTGGTCACTCAGAAGCTGCTGAGGGGAGAAGCAAACCCCGTCCTTCCTCCCCCAACACAGCTGAACTAAACTGGTCACCAAAGTGACCCAGCATCCGCGTGCAAACCCCAGACCCCCCAGAACATGCAGAGGAACCTCCATGATGGTGGCAAACACAAAGGGGGGCTTCCCATGCCAGCTGGGGATCCCAAGCAAGTGACACTGAGCTGCTCTCATCCAGGAGGCCAAACCGCCCTCAAAAGTTGTGGGTTTTAAATGTGAGAAATAACACGAAATGCAGAGACCTGCTCCTTATAAATATATACAGCAAGGCAGTTATTATATTACAGTATTAACTTATAATTAAAATGTAATCATATACTAAATCATAATTGCTTACTCATTCTCTATAAATTTTACTTTTTTGAAAAAAAAACTTTTCTGCTTCCACAAATCATCAAATTTGCAGCAAATTTGATAGACATCTTGAAAGTGGGTCGTTTCAATTTTCAAACAACACTTTGAATTACTACTAAACTCACAGCCTGAGGGGCCTTCACCAACAAGGCATGTGGATGCAGTCCCCCCACCGCTGCAACCTGCCTCCGTGGGGATGGCTTCCTGCAGGAAGAATAAAGGAACACTGTGAATCAAATATTTGTTTGTTTTTGTTTTTTGGGCAGCTGGCAGGTAATGGGATCCAAACCCTTGACTTTGGTGATAGCACCTGAATCTAATTCTCACAAATAATTAAACACAACTAAAAATTTCAGGCTAAAGTTTAGAATATTCCAAATAAACATAAATGGTACTTTAAATCAGTTTCTTTACACATATTGCCACTTTAGAAATGCTAAATACAAACTTATTAAGTTAAAATTTAATTGCCACTGTTTAACACTATTGATACTTTACCTGCCCAACACTGAAAACTTGGATAATTTTCCTCCTAGAATCAG